TGAATTGTTTGTTATGTTAAGGTATCAATGTGCAGTATATTAAGAATAAAAAAATTGTTCTTCGGACTTTAGCTGTGGCAGAATTATTCGAACGCCACACAGCTGAATATCTCAAAGACGTTATTTTAACCACCCTCAAGAAATACAAGATATCAGCAGACCAAATTTATACATGCACCACCGACAACGGTCGGAATATGCTTAAATGTGTTTCGCTAATAAACGAAAATGTAACCGAATTAGAAGACGAGGTGATAAATGAAGAATTTGATGACACTTTGAATGATTTTAAATTAAATACAAGATGTATAGGTAAGTTTTTTTGTTCATGAAATCTATTGTTGAAGCTATGAATTATTTTTTATCTACAAAACATTTTTTATTTGAAAATAAAACTTTAACCACTCTACTTTCAATCGAACCCGAACTTCGGCAAATTTAAAAGTTCGGCCAAACTATTTTCGGTTTTTGAAGTTCAGTGAACCCGAACTTTATGTTATTTAATGAAAAATATGCATTTATGATTAAAAAGTAACAAATATGTAACATTCAAAAACAAGTTGCCATCAAAATATTAACATAGGAGAGATTTTTTGAAATCGGTCTTTAATTGGGTTTGAATAAATTAGGGATTGAAATTTTCAGAACGTTCAAATGTGGACCGATTTTCACAATTTTCAATACCAATAAAATATTTAAACATAAATTTTCTTTAATTTTTTGTAAAATAAAATTCCCTTTTTTTAAACATCGTTTTATAATAAAAAAAACTAGGATTAAATGCTTAATTTTAAAGTTAAAACTCAAATTAAATATAGCTAATTTTTATTAAAGATTGGGCTTTCATAAAATAATTATTTTGTTTCAGTATAAGAAAACAAATTTTGTATGAAAATTTTGTTTTATAAACCTTTTATAAAATAAAAGTTTGATTATGAATTGGGGGTTATAATCGAAACTACATACATAATTCTATATTTTTTTAGTTAAATGAAATTTTTAGTATCTTAAAAGATATTGAAGTATTTAAAATGTTTGACTTTTCTTAGCTTTTAATAGTATCTTAGCTAAAAATGTTATTTATGTTTTGGAATACTCGTTAACAGTTTTTCAAAATAGCAGAAAATTTAAACAAGTTAAAAGGGCACTATTTTTACCAACACCATTTTAAATTTTAGAATTTACATTTCAGAAATGTGTATATACATACATATCGTCACCTAAAACGCAAACGGCCCTATTTAACATTTTTAAAATTTTACAGGAGAAGCAAAAAACTATTTAAATTGGAAAGTTTGTTTCTATCAGCGCGATTTATTTTTATAAAATAAACAAATTGTTTAATAGTTAAACCTATTATTTGTTATGATAATTGACATTGGCGTACATAAAAATGGATAAATTGGACTTTTTACCTTTAATATTTAAATGTTTTTGTAGATAGGGCCTTTTGCTAATTTTGGCCGGAGGAGTCTAATTTCTTTTGTGGACATTTGTTTTGATGCAGTACATTAGAATCTGCAATAAAATCGATTTTGGATTTTTGGTTAGTTAGGGCCGTTTGCGTTTCAAGTGACGATATATACTGTCTTATTCATAACAATTCATCAATGGTTTATGGAGCAAATTATGTTTTGAAAATTTGTCTTTTTTTTAATTTATACTTATGTAAACTCTACAATTTGAATATCATTGTGTCCAAATTAGCATTAAGAATTGAATTATATTGAATTGATTGTTAGTTAGAATTTTATTATTTTTTATTATTTTATTATTATTTCATTATTTTTCTTTAATTGAATTTATATAAAATGAATTATTAGTTTGTAAACTTTTCCCTTGGTTTTTATTTGAATTTAATACTTTTGTAAACCCTAGTTTATATACATAGTTAACGTATGTACAAAACTAAACTGTATTTAATTTACTTATTATGTATTAAACTTAACGAAACATAAGTATCCGTTATAACGTTGTGTGAAAAGAGCCTTCAAGGCATTTAAAAAAGAAATAAACTTTCACTTCTTCCTAAACCAGCCAAAGGTGAGCATCATTTTTACTTAAATAAAATCCCTTTTTATTTAAAACTAATCCCTTGTGTTTTTCTCTTTTTTCCCCACACGCTTAAAACTACACTTTATAATTTCTCATTCCTTGAGAAATTATAAAGTCCTTTAAATTTATTAATCCTTTCCGAGGATTAATATATTCATGGTCCTTCGTCCTTCTCCAATAGTGAACTGGTCGCCTAATCCCTAAAGGAAGCTTCCCAAGCCATTTGAGTGCATCCAATAATAAAATCAATTTGCCGTCGGAAAAACGCAAGTACAAAAAACTGCAATGCCAATGTGAGTAGAAACCAAAATTTTATTTATTTTTACTCTTAAAAAGAAAAAATTCTAAAGTGAAAAATCTGTGCAAGTGTGTGTGTGTAAGGAAAAAATTTATGTTTTAAAATTGAAATTTTTGCCAATAAATTCGAAAGAAAAAAGAATTTCGTAAAAAAAATTAAAAATTTTTGCCAATAAATTCGAAAAAAAAAAAAGAAAAAATCCCTTAAAAAATTAAAAAAAAAAAAATTTTGCCAATAAATTTAAAAGGGAAAATCTCTTAATAAATTAAAATTTTTGCCAATAAATAAATGAAAAGGAAAATTTCTCAAATTTGTTTAATTGTGCCAATAAACACCACTAAAAAAAAAAAAAAAAAGAATTATTCTCTTAAAATTTAATTAAAAAGAAAATATCCCTTATTACTCTTAAAAAATTGCCAGTGAAAGTGAAAAAAAGCCAAGAAAAAAAGTGCAAAAAATAGCCTGTTGCCAAATTTCTATTAAAAATTTAATAAATTCTGGAAAAGAGTGTTAAAAGTTCCAAAAAATTGTGACGTCAGATTTATTTCCAAAATCGACAAACTTACTGTGTAATACAAAAGCATAAAGAGTGAACAAATTACATTGCAATAATAAAAAACAAAACCAAAATATCAAAGAGTTTAAATGTGACAAAAAACCACCACCATCGATCATCAATAAATATTAAGCAACAATAACAAACATACATTACAGTTAGCGGTGATATTCCTACTCTCTTAATTGTTCTCAATAAATTGTGAAAAGAAAATAAAGAACAAAAGAAAAAAAACGCACAGTGGGCTCGACGTGAAAAAATATTACTGAAAAATAAAATAATTATAAATATTCAGGAAATATTTTTTGTGTGCATCTACAACAAGTGAACATCAAAATTATTAAAAATTGATTCTCAATAAAATAATTGCTGTGGAAAAATACCATATACATATTTGGAAAAATAATTTATTGGAATATTGATTGTTGCTTTTGAATATACATTTTGTGTGGTTTATTTGTTACTTCAAGGAGATAATTTCTCTCTTTATGCATGTATAAATGAGCACAGTGGTCACAGTGAAACAAAATAAAAAAATTTTTTTCTGATCATATAAAAATAAAATCTTATAATATTAAAAGAAAATTTTAGATAATTTTTTGCACTTCTTTATATAAATAATTTTTTTGGTGCTTGGCAATTTGTGATAAACGGAAAATTTTGCTTATAGAAATTAAAGCGAATTAAAAATAAATTTTTGAAAAAATTTTTTGGAATGCAAATTTTCGCTTAATTAAAATTTTCGCTTGGCAATTGGTGATAAATTTAAAATAATAAATAATCACAGTTCTAAATTAATATTGTGGCAATAAAAAATAATAAAATCATAAATTTAATAAAATAAATTTTCTAAGGAAAAGTGGTTCTTGCTATTCCACTGTGAATAAATGTTACAGTGACGCTTGTTGATAAATGGAAAATTCGATACAGTGGTTTCAGTGTAAAATTTTATTGGCAAAAAACAAAATTATATATTTTTTTTTTTTTCTCTCAAAAAATTAAAAATTTTTATTTAGCAATCTCTTGCTTTCAAATTATACACACCTGCACAGTGATTAAAACTAAAATCGGTTAAAAAAATAATTCTAAAAAAAATCATTTTAAATCAAAATTATAGGCAATCGCTTGCTTTAAAGGAAAATTAAAATTTTACGGAAAATTTACGGCAATTTGATAAAGAAAAATTTCTTTGATTTTAAAGAAATCAAGAAATAGTTAATAATCGCTTATTAAAAAAAAAATATAATAATATAAATCATTATAATTTACAATTTTGCGGATTTTTACGGCGAGTAACAAGAAAATTACAAGATTTTATGAAAATTTAATCAATATTCAAAAAAAAATATTTGCGCTTTACGTTTGAGAAAATTATCGAGTCCAACGATAATCGATCAAACTTTTATATATATACAAAAAAGAAAAAAAACATTTTACAGCAATTATTAAGAAAACTACAAATATTTATGAAAATTATTTCCCTTTTACTAACATTATAACATTTTAAACTATTTGAATAACATTTTTTACGCTTTACATTTGAGAAAATTATCGAACTTGACGATAATTAATCAAAACTATACAAAACTTTGAAGAAAAATTTTAACTTACTGCTTAAAGAATTTTGCTCACCTTTCAATTTTGCTTGTATCTATCTGAGAATTAATCCAAATTACAAAGGATTTCTCTATTTTCGGTCCAAATTACAAAGGATCTCTAAATTTCGATCCAAATTACAAAGGATCTCTCAATTTCTATCCAAATTACTCTCAATCCAAATTACAAAGGATTTCGCTCTTACTCAATCCGAATTACAAAGGATTTATCTTACACAATCCAAATTACAAAGGATTTATCTCTCTCAATCCAAATTACAAAGGATTTCGCTCTAACTCAATCCAAATTAAAATAAATTTCTCTATTTTCGATCCAAACTACAAAAGATTTCTCAACTTTAGTCCAAATTTTACTCTTGATCAATCCCAAGTACAAAGGATTCTTCTTTAATCGCTTTCTAATTACAAAGAATTTCTCTAAAAGTTCATTAAAACTACAAAGCTTATCAATTTTTTTTTCATATAACAAATTAAAATGACTTCTCTAAATACGCGATTTGCATTTGATGCCAAAAACTTAATTTCATTTTGTAAAAAATGCGATAGCCAAGATATTTTAAGCCAATCTGAGGCACTTATAGATTTAAAACTGAAAGATTTAGACACTCGCTGGAGTAAAGTAGAAAAGTCGTATGAAGATCTAATGCTTTCTGATCAAAGTGAAGAAGTTAAAACTACAGCTCAAGAGCAATACGATTCATGTGTCGACATGTATTATTTAACCGTTTCCAAACTTCTTGATGTGATAAAAACGTCAAGAGATAGTATTGCTCGCGCTAGCATAGATTCAGCCCCATTGAACACATCTAATGATCGGTTAAGTACAGGTCTTAAATTGCCCCCATGCGATACTCAAATATTTTCAGGAGGTTATGAAGACTGGCCGGCATTTCGTGATATGTTCACGGCAGTCTACATTAACCATCCAAGGCTAACTCTCGCAGAAAAACTTTATCATCTTAGAAATAAAACTACCGGTTCAGCCGGAGCAATAGTAAAAAGATTCCCTTTAACCGATAATAACTTTCCTCTAGCTTGGCAAGCACTTAAGTTGCGGTATGAAAATGTAAGAGTTTTAGTCGACAATCAGATCCGTAACCTTTTCAATATTCCCGTAGCTAGCGTAGAGGATAATGAGTCCCTACAAAGAATTCATAGCTCAGTTACTGACTGTTTAGCTATGCTTGATACAATGAGTATATCAGTTGAAGGCTGGGACCCCATTTTAGTCAATTTAGTCTATTCTAAATTACCCAACGAAACATTGGCTCAATGGGAACAATCATTAAACGCCAGTAGAGAGTTACCAACCTGGTCTCAATTAAGTGATTTTCTACTTAAACGATGTGAAGTCGTAGAAAGAATTTCCACTATCAAAGTGAACAAATCTGCTTTCCTTAATCAAAATGAAACTCATTCACAAGTTCAAATGTACTCATCCCAAGAAAAACTTAATTACAAATGCAAAATGTGCGATGAAGATCACAGTTTGAGAACTTGTTCGCAATTTCGTAAGCTTTCAATTCAAGAAAGAGTTGATTTCATTTTCAAGAATAAGTTTTGTAACAATTGTTTGTCACAATCTCACACGAAAAAGAATTGTATGAGCAAAAATTCCTGTTTAAATTGTGGTAAAAAGCATCACACACTGCTTCACATGCGTTCTTTTAATCCTCCTCGGAATAGCTCAAATCAAACGTGTCCAAACAAAAACGATCAAAACATAAAATCTGATCCAAAAACGACTAATTCTAGATCCGTTGAGTCAAATGAATCTGAAAACGGTCCAGCAACCTCAAATGCTCACAAAACTTTCCAAGTTAATGCGAATTATGCCATGAGTGATACTAAAGTCTTGTTACGAACTGCAATGGTTCAAATAGAAAGTAGAGGGGAATTATTCTCGATTAGAGCTCTCATTGACCCAGGTTCTGAGAGGACCTTTATATCTGAAAAGGTTCGAAATCGTTTAAATATCCCATCTAGAAAATCATACTGCGAAATAATAGGAGTTGGCGGTCAAACTCAAGTTTCAGAAAAAGAATGTGATTTGGTTTTGGTCTCGCACAAATCCAAGTTTCGGTTACCCGTAACTGCTATCGTTTTACCTAAAGTCACGAATAAGATTCCCTCGGTTTCCTTTGAACTCCCTAACCCAATTGAGCTTTCTGGTATTGACTTAGCTGATCCAAATTTTAATATATCTTCCTCGATCGATTTAATCCTTGGAAATGACAGTGAGCGTTATATAAATCTTGATGGCATCAAACGAGATGTATGTGGCTCTGCTTCTGCATATAGAACGGTTTTCGGATGGGTGCTTAGTGGCCCCGTGAAGACTCAGCCAATATACTCGTTTTCAACATGCGTTGGTTCCACTGAAGACTTTACCTTGGATGAATTAGTTCGGAAGTTTTGGGAGCAGGAAGAAATTCCATCAACCCGGCCAGCTTCTTCAGAGGATGAATATTGTGAAAAATTTTATCAACAAACCACAACACGCTTACCAAATGGACGATATATGGTCAGATTACCATTTCGACAGGAGTTCCCGGAATCAAGGTTTCTTAGCCCATCAAGATTTATCGCTCTTAGTCAATATGTTCGGATGGAACAGATGTTGGAAAAAGATCCCGCGTTAAGCACTCAATATAACGACGTGCTCACTGAGTATATAACCCTCGATCATATGGAAGAAACAACTTCTCGTGAGTACTTTTCGGAAAATAAATGTAACTCCTTTTATCTCCCTCATCATGCAGTCGTAAGACCAGAAAGCAAATCTACGAAGGTTAGGGTTGTTTTCAATGCTTCCCGCAAAACTAAGTCAGGGTTTTCATTAAACGACGTTCTTTATACTGGTCCCACACTTCAAGCTGATCTGATGACAGTGATATTAAATTGGCGTTTTTACAAATTTGTTTTCAGCGGTGACATACAAAAAATGTATCGTCAGATATTAGTCAATCCCCAAGACAGACCGTTTCAGAGAATACTCTTCCAAAAATCCCCCCGGGAGGCCATCAAAGATTACCAGTTAAAGACTGTTACATTTGGTATAAATTGTGCACCATTTTTAGCCATTAGGACATTAATCCAGTTAGCGTCTGATTCCGAAGATAAGTTTCCCAAAGCAGCTGATATATTACGTAGAGAAACTTATGTAGACGACATTCTAACTGGTGGTCATTCTCTCGAAGAGGTTATAAAATCCCAGAAAGAGCTGGTGCAAACTCTAGAATCAGCTGGTTTCTTATTAAAGAAATTAACCTCCAATAACTCTCGTTTGTTAGCTTCTTTTCCCAAAGAAGATCTTTATGATTCTGATTTTCTCAAATTTCATGATTCCAGTGCGACAAAAACTCTCGGCATTCGCTGGAACGCACTGACTGATTCGTTCACATATACTTTTGAATCTATTCCTCAAGAAACAAAAATAACCAAACGCAAAATCGTATCTTCAGTAGCCAAATTGTTCGATCCAGCTGGCTGGATATCACCCGTAGTCATTAAAGGCAAAATTCTCATTCAGCAATTATGGCTGGAACGAATCGATTGGGATGATTTTGTCAGTACAGATTCTCTCCGAATCTGGAATGAAATCGTAAGCGATCTCTCGCATATAAATGAAATCCAAATCCCTCGTTGGATTCAGTTCACTCCCGTTGATACTATTCAAATTCACGGATTCTGTGATGCCTCCAAATTGGCGTATTGTGCAGCAGTATATATTAGAATACAAACATCTTCTCCTGTCGTTTTTTCGCATTTGCTAGTTTCCAAAAGCAAAGTAGCACCATTAGCATCTACAACTTTACCGCGCTTGGAACTTTCTGGCGCAGTTATGCTAGCTAAACTAGTACAATATACGATATCTTCGCTTAATATGAAAAATCACGAAATCATTTTATGGTGTGACTCATCGATTGTTTTAGGATGGCTTGCTAAGCCACCTTCAACCTGGAAAGAAATCTATGTTTCTAATCGTGTAGGCCAAATCCATAAATTATTGCCAAATGCAAAATGGCGCCATGTTCCAACTCATTTCAATCCCGCTGATCTAGGTTCCAGAGGATGCAGACCACAGGACTTAATCAACAACCAACTTTGGTGGCAGGGCCCACCACGGCTTACAAACCCGGTTTCGGAATGGCCACAGAATAATCCGTTGAATACCACGAAATCTCCCGAAATTTCTATTCTTAAGCAAACACAAACCCAAAGCTTAACGGTTCCCATCAGTAGCTTTCAAACTACAGTCTCTTCCGTAGACATTCTTAAAAGATTCTCCTCCTACACGAGATCGTTAAGAGTTCTTGCATACGTTTTTCGATATATTCGGCGTTTTAAACCTTCGTTTGCCAATCAAACCAACAACTTAGCTGATCACAATTCTCAACTCAGTCAACAGGAAGTCAATTCTGTAAAGTCCAGATTAATAATGTTAGCTCAGAAAGAATTCTACCAGCGTGAATATGAATTACTCTCTGAAAATCAGCCCATTCCAAAAGACAGCTCTTTATTCACATTAAATCCATTTCTAGACTCCAAAGGTCTTTTAAGAGTCAATGGTCGCCTAGCCAATTCTTTATTACCTTACAACGAGCGTTTCCCAATCATTCTACCCCGAAATTCACACTTTTGTAACCTATATTTATCCCATTTGCACGAGATTCTAGCCCATGGAGAATGCACCTTAATGTGTCGGATGATACAAACCGAATTTTATATCTCTCGTCTTAAACTCAAAGTTAAAAAACTCATAAGATATTGCAAAACTTGTATAATTCATAAGAAACAACCATGTTCTCAAATTATGGCGGCTTTGCCTACCGACCGCTGTACCCTGTCCTTCCCATTCAACATAACCGGAGTAGATTTTGCCGGTCCGTTTGAGCTTAAAAGTTCCAATTTACGAAGATCATCTATCATCAAAGGATATGCATGCGTATTTGTATGTTTTGCTACAAAAGCGGTCCATTTAGAGCCCTGTTCCAGCCTTTCTGCAGCTGCGTTCCAAGCAACATTCGCCCGATTTGTTGGTCGCCGTGGTCTTCCACACAAACTAGTCTCTGACAATGGTAGAAATTTTGTTGGTTCGAATCGAGCTTTACGCAAGGAATTTACTACTTTTATAAACTCCGTTTCTCAAGACATTGCTCAAAAATACATAACTCATGGGTTTGAGTGGTCTTTCATTCCCCCCCAGGCTCCCCACATGGGAGGACTTTGGGAAGCGGCGGTCAAAAGCTTTAAATTCCATTTAAAGCGGGTGGCAGGAGCCCATCGGTTCACATTTGAAGAGTTTACCACGGTGTTAGCTCGTATTGAAGGTGTATTGAATTCTAGGCCCATATCCGCTCTCTCTGAGGACCCAGCTGATCTTACCGCGTTGACCCCAGGACACTTTCTCCGTGGCGGTCCAATTATGGCTTTACCCGATCCAAACTATCAAAATCTTTCCTTAATAAATCGATGGGAAAAACTAAAAGCGATTAACCAAAAACTTGCGATCGAGTGGAAGCAAGAATACTTAAAATCACTCCATAAGAGATATAAATGGAAGTTTTCTACGCCTAATCTAAAAATAGGAGATTTTGTAGTGGTAATTGACGATCTTCTACCACCATGTGAATGGCGTTTAGGCAGAATAGAAAAAATACACAGCGGTTGCGATAATTATGTTCGAGTAGTTGATGTTCGTACAAAAGGCGGCATCATCACTCGTCCCATCACTAAATTATGCTATCTGCCATATAATAACGTTCAAACTAGCGACTAATTACTTACTAACATTGTTTATCCCACATTCCTATATCCTATCATAATCGTTTTTTCCCATTTCCATTCCCATTACTTCTTAAATCAACATTACTCATACGTTTTCTCCTTACAGCATGCGAGATCAATCACCAAGAGACCCAACAGTGCACCAGTGCCGACTCTGTGACCGTTACCACGCGCTACGGTTCTGCCGGCGTTTTTTGGCGATGGAGTCAGCAGAGCGTTTTGTAGTGGCTCGGCGGTATGAATACTGCCTGAACTGTTTGGCCAGAACACACAACGTGTACAGTTGCGACAGCCCCGATACGTGTATGTATTGTGGTCGGCTACATCACACGCTACTCCACCCAAGCCGTCATCCCCGAGTCACTGCACCAGAAGGCAGTGTCCAGAATAGATTGGGCGAACGTCAACTGGTCCGTCCAAGCCACCGAGACTACCGCCATCGTGCCAACCCTAATCGCCGTCGCCCCACCAATTCTCAACCACAACGCCACCGTACCGCCAACACCAATCATCAACATCATCGTCGTAACACCACCAACCTCCACCGTCGCCGAACCAACACTTCCAGCACCAGAACTAGTCGCCAACATCCAAGGCGTATAAACAGCACCACCATGTCTCGGCGAAACAACAATCCACCCGCTATGCCCAACCGTGTCATCTCTGAGGCAATTCGTTCACTGGCCGCCGTCCTATGCGCTACCTCAAACAATTAGGTTGCACATGTGCAACGAGGGGCGCCATGTCCAAATTAGCATTAAGAATTGAATTATATTGAATTGATTGTTAGTTAGAATTTTATTATTTTTTATTATTTTATTATTATTTCATTATTTTTCTTTAATTGAATTTATATAAAATGAATTATTAGTTTGTAAGCTTTTCCCTTGGTTTTTATTTGAATTTAATACTTTTGTAAACCCTAGTTTATATACATAGTTAACGTATGTACAAAACTAAACTGTATTTAATTTACTTATTATGTATTAAACTTAACGAAACATAAGTATCCGTTATAACGTTGTGTGAAAAGAGCCTTCAAGGCATTTAAAAAAGAAATAAACTTTCACTTCTTCCTAAACCAGCCAAAGGTGAGCATCATTTTTACTTAAATAAAATCCCTTTTTATTTAAAACTAATCCCTTGTGTTTTTCTCTTTTTTCCCCACACGCTTAAAACTACACTTTATAATTTCTCATTCCTTGAGAAATTATAAAGTCCTTTAAATTTATTAATCCTTTCCGAGGATTAATATATTCACATTGAGATATTTTCGCTCGTTTTAGGAGTTCGATGTGCTGCACATACTCTGCAATTAGCTGTTAATTGCGTTTTAAAAGAAAAACTAATGGAGAAGGTAACGTCGACCGTAAGAACCGTGGTTAAAAAACTTAGAACTCCTAATGTTGGCATTCTGTTGAAAAATGAGGGATTAAACAAACCGACAATTGATTGCGTAACACGTTGGTCTTCTACTTATGAAATGCTGGAATCAATTAACGGAAATAAAATAAAACAATTTTGCCAGGAAATGTCTCAAAAAAGTGATGACTTTTTTATTTCACAAGAAATGTGGAAGAGCATCTCAGATGCCGTTGATACGTTGCGACCCGCCAATATTGCCACTAAAACGTTGCAAATGGAGCAACTTACATTTGGCGATGCGTATGCCGCTTGGTGCAATTGCAAATTGCAATTGCAAAAAATTAAAACAAATTTTTCCAATAATTTAATAGAACATATGAAAAATAAGGAAAATATTTTATTTGAAAATGACGCGTTCATTGGTGCAATATTTATGGATCCACGCTGGAACGTGGTACTTAAAAACTCTTTAAAGGAACGTGCCATAGAACACGTTATTTCTGTAATAGATAAAATGAATAGTCTTACTCAGACCGATTGCATACTTGTAACCGATGGTGAAATGAATAATAGTTCATCGTCTATAGACAGTTTGGAAGCAATATTACAAAATATAGAAAAGGAAAATTATGGCAAAAATGCATCAATAAGAGAATTATTAAACGAATTTTCAAAAGAAAAAAGACTCTGTCTTCATGACAACGTTATTCAATGGTGGGAAGACAGAAGAGAAATAAAATCACAGCTGTACAATATTGCAATGGTTCTACTTGCCGTTCCAGCAACGCAAGTCAGTGTGGAACGTCTTTTTTCTGGTGTTAAATTTTTAATGAATCCAAGCCGAAATCGTCTGGATGAAGATAGTTTAAATGCAATAGTGGTGATACGCTCCAACAAGGACTTATTTTAACATGATAACTTTATATGTATTTCTTTATTTTAAATTAACACAAATATTTTACAGCATTCATAGCTCTATTAAACAACTTTATATTTAGACATTCCAATTTAAATTATATTTCTGAAATCCAATTGAATTTTTTTATAAATAAATTAGAATATGTATATGTATTTATAAATAAATACAAATTCGATAATTTGGTATTTGTTTTTGAAAATAATATTTTTGTTCTTTACTTTTCTAGGAAAAAATTCAATAAAATCGAAACTGAAAATGCCTTTAAAAAATACTTCTTCTTTCTCAATCTGTAGAGAAACTTAAAATCGGTTGAGAATCAACTAAGTTTCTGACTTATATGTGCTTAAAGGTACGAAACCCCGGTTTTATACGTATCTTAAGATTTTGCATGTGTTTGGCAAATTAAAAAAAAACAGATTCGTGTTCTACTCGGATCCACCTTTCAGAAAAATAGTATAGATATTTGTTTTGGTCGCATATTGTAATAATTGTTAAAAACGAAATCCATACAATTTTGAATTTAATTTATTTATTTCTGAACATTATTTTTTACTTTTAATTTATTAATTAATGAATTAAGGTTGTTATTTAATGTTTCTATATAAAAATTTAATTCCTCGTAAAACTGTTAAAATTATGAGCGCATTAGTAAATGCAGTTGCAAGAGTATTTTGTAATGCTACGAAATGTTGTGTAAATTTGCTCGACACTGTTTTAAGTTAAACTTAAAAAAAATACGTAAAACAATAATACCAATGTTATTTTTGTTGTATTTAAAAGTTTGCTTATGCAGTGGATTTATGAACATATTTTTAATTATTTAAATCATATCGAAATTGCCGTCAAAATATCTTTTATGTACACTACCGATAACGCTAAAATATCAATACCGAAATAAGGCAAAATACCGATAACGCTAAAATACCAATACCGAAATAAGTCAAAATACCGATAACGCTAAAATAGCAATACCGAAATAAGCCACAATACCGATAACGCTAAAATACCAATACCGAAATAAGTCAAAATACCGATACCGCTACCTCATCACCGTTTCGAAACGGTAGCCAACCTTGTTATAAAATTTTACAAAACCATTTAGGTTCCTGTAAAATATGTTCATGTCGAATTACATCGCTATAGATGCTTCTTTTAGACAGTTATGAGCGTTAAAGTCTTTTTCTGAAGGGGACCTTATATGGGGGTGTTAACGCCACTGCAAAAATCCCCATGATTTTTTATACCATCTGGCATCTCTTAATTTTAATTTATTATAATTAATATTTTTGCTGATTGTCAATCATTACAATTATTGCTGATTGTCAAGCATTACAAAGATAACGAAAGAAATAAGTTTAGGTTGAAGCCATGTTCTTAGCTCTGTCATTTTTTAATTAACCATAAGTTACATTAATTGCAAGTTGCAGAACTCAGGACATAATTAAAATTAATTAAGAATTTAAATTAAACATTTCCTAGTGGTTTCCATACCAAAAAGTATGTAGAATTAATTATAATTATTTTTATTTCCAAATTCCTAATTATTTATTTAGGAATTTTAATATTTAAGTACACTTGTTGAATAAATTAAGTTTTTATAAAACTTGTGTATTTTTATTCAAAATCCCCGTGGAAGTCACTAGAAGTTATTTAGACTGGCGTGTCTCCAACAAATTTAAAATTATTTTTGCTTTACATCATCTCTTCCTGGGTCACTTTTGCCTTCACATCTTGCCAATCGCAGTAAGTACAAAATGTCTTTGCCAAACGCGGAGGATCATCAACAGCTTGAACAGCACGATAACATTTGTTCACAATGCCAAAATCCCCCTGACAAAAATATGACATCTTGCACCGATTGCCACAAAATATTTCATAAAAGTTGTGTTAATGTCACCGATGATGACATAACCTTCAAATGCCTGCAGTGTTCTGCCATAAGGCCAAACTCACCCGCACCAAGTGCCACAAGCTCTCGTCTTTCACAGTCGCGTAAAATTGAGTTACAACTTCAACGGCTAGAAGAAGAACGTAAACTCAATAAAGAGTATTTAGATAAAAAATACAAACATCTTGAAGAAGCTGAAGCTCTAACTGACATTTCGTCGAATGATTCACAGTCCGTCCACGACTGGATGGCATCATCTGAACCTAACCCTGTCAGCAATAAACAGCCTCCTGTTATAACAACAAATTTGGAAACTACACGTTTACCTAACCAAAGTCTTTATTTAAAAGATACATGTCATGTACCAACAACTATTACCACGTATGAAAATCAGCCAATAACAATTTTCAATAATTCAAATACAATTCCGAAAAATTATGTAGAATATGTACCATCAACGGTCACCACTGCTGCCATGAATTCGTTAACAACGTCAACAATACCAAATTGTACTGCGACCTTCCCCACCTATAGTGGCTTTCAACATCGAATGCAGCTACCAAGACCTCCTGTCACAGCTTACCCCCCTGGTACGATACTTACCTCAAGTTCTACAAATGATTCACAAAATTTGTTTAATTCGGCACCACAAGCTTTTATTCAACGGCAACCAATTTCTTCTACAACAAATTTTACAGCTAACGCCCCAACAAATACAGAGTCCGGCCCGCTACCAAATTTAGCATCACCACAAAGGCTGCAGCAAAACCACCTTAATTCACGGCAGTCGCTCCCCAAAGAATTGCCGACATTTTCTGGCCAACCAGAAGAATGGCCCATCTTTATTTCAACTTACGAGTGGTCCATCGACGCCTGCGCATTTACCGATGCCGAAAACCTCATCCGTCTCCAAAGGGCATTGAAAGGAGAAGCCTTGCACAGCGTTCAACAAATGTTGATTCATCCTTCTAATGTTCCCGGCGTACTCCAAGTAGTTCGTATGCTGTATGGTCAACCTGAAAAAATAATCAATTCAATTAAAAATAGAATTAA